TCGACAACCAGCAGAAAGTACCGCTCACCGCCCTGTCCCCAAAGGGGGGTGGGCCCCACACGTCCAGGTGGAGGGTCTACAGAGGAGCCTCTATCGGGGGAAACGAGGAGTGAGGAGCAGCGCGCTGCCGCCCCTCGACGCAAGGAAGGCAGGGCGGCGCAGGCGAGGTAGGGAGGGGAGGGAGAGACCTGGGAAGACCAGACACAAGGAGGCGACGGTGCATGCCACGGAGACGTGGCAAGGAGGGGTGACCCAGGCGTGGTGCTAGAGAAGAGTCTGGTGCGACAAGGAGCGACACTCACAGGGGGAGGCTGCCAGACCTGACGCAGACACCTGACCGACAACAGCTACTTGAGGAGACACAGTCGTCAGTGTGTAAAGACTCGACCCTGGCCGACGAGTGGATTTGGCCAGGTGACGGCCAGTCCTGGAGCACGTACAGATCGCCACACGCTGTCCTCCAGGGGTAAAGGTGTCAACCCAATGATCTTGGAGGACAGCGTTGCTCACCAAGTTCGTCAAGAACGAGGGGAGGTGGAGACCTGACAGTGAGCCAGACGGAACCGCCGAGCACGGAAGCATAGTGGTGGACCGTGCAAGAACTGGGTCTTGTGAGGGGTCAGCTAGAGAAACTGCAACAGGTGCAGGGAGTGGTGTGAGTGCGCTACAGTTACGGAAGAAGCAGCGGGAAGCACCTGAGTCAAGCGTGAAGGTGTGCAAGGCCTCAGCAGGTGCAGTACCTTAGAGAGCAGACTCACTAGCACCTAAGGCAGCAGCCTCACTAGCACCTAGAGCAGCAACCTCTGTACCGGGGTCGTACTGCACACACAGGTAACAGTCACTCTCAGCACCATCAGGCAAAGCAGACATGGTAGTAAGGATGGCGTCATAGTCTAAAGCAAAGACATCAACGCCCGACCTAAGCAGCTCAAGCTAGTGGGGGGTCTCAGCCTCGTTGCCAAACTCTGCGTGCCAGGCGTCAGTCAAATAGGCGAAGCAGCGGGACTGTGCGTGACCAGGTGTCCCACAGGTCTGGCCAGCTCGACGACCTGTGTGAATGACGTACGGACAGCGACCAGGACTCGGAGATGTCCCACGCTGGTAAAGCCACTCACGAAGCTGCTGGGGCGTAAGGGTTGAACGCCGCCGTAGCTGCATCTGGCCACCGCCAGAGACTCCACAGCACACAGCTCCACAGTGACTGCTACTACAGCCGCCACGACTCCCACTGCTGCCACCACCGCCGTCACCTCTCCCACCGCGACTACAAAGTGAAGTCATGGCGGGCAAGCTAGGAGGAGCGCGACCTCTAGGGCAGTACGGAGTGAAGGCAGTAGTACGAGTAGCAACAGCAGTAAGACGAACAGTAGTGCGGCTCGTGAGGCTAGGCTGCAGCACCTCTAGCACTCCTAGCAGCACCTCCACCAGCAACAGCAGTAGCACAAGCAGAAGGGCGGATCGTGTCGGGTGGCACGGCTCGGCCTGGGCGGCGCGGGCAGCAGGGGGCGCGCTGTGGAGGGCAGCATGGCGCGGCACGCTGGCTGCAGCAGGGCGCGACGCGCAGGGCAGCAGGGCGCGACGCGCAGGGCAGCAGGGCGCGATGCGCGGGCTGCAGCAGAGCGCGACGCGCAGGGCAGCAGCGCGCAACGTGCAGGCTGCCGTAGGGCGCAACGCGCTGGGCAGCAGCGTGCGACGGGCAGGCTGCCGTAGGGCGCGACGTGCGGGGCAGCAGAGCACGACGCGCGGGGCAGCAGCGCGCGACAGGCGGGCTGCCGTAGAGCGCGACGCGCAGGGCAGCGAGGCGTGACGTGCAGCTGCCGCAGGGTGCGGGCTGCAGCAGGACGCAGGGCAAGGCGCTGGCGCAGGGCAGGGCGCTGGCGCAGAGTAGGGCGCTGTACCCTACATGGGCTACCCCACTATAGCCTACACACAACTAGCACAGATATGGTTTGACACTAACTGCTTTTTAGATAACCTCCTCCCACCTGACTCAAAATTTATGCTATCTCCACAGAACCAATAACATGTCACCCAAGATGCATAAACAATGCCATACCAATTGTTTGCATTGGGTGTCCGATTTTAGCAAGTGGCATCCTTCCAGATTGGCTTGAATATTTTCTACTTTAATTGTAGGGTAGGGGCGCATTTACACGCAAATCCACGGTACCATGTGAATGAAATGAGAAAAATACAGTGTTATCTAAGTTTCATGCTGCCCCGGCAACCCAGTCGAGCAACCACGTCGCATCGTTTAACCGGCGGATAAGCTCGAACTGAATAACACAAAACACAACCATCCATATTATTATACAGTAGTGTAGTGTATTGAGTTTTTTCATAGCGGTCCACGGAGAGACGTAAGCGAGCGAGTCGTAGCAGAGTGCATTGTGACATTAGAGGAGGTGGCCGCCGCCCAGGGAGTCATGCAGGCAGGGACACAGACAAAGAAGGGAAGGGGTGGCAACGGAGTAGGGAAGAGAAGGGACATAGGGAGGGAGACAAAGGCGAGCGAGTGAGTTGTCGCAAAGTGCATTGTGACATCAGCGGAGGTGGCCGCCGCCCAGGGAGTCATGCAGGCAGACACACAGACAAGGAGAATATGCGTGGCAAACAGACAAAGAAGAAAAGACCAAGCACAGGGAGAAACAGAGGAGGTGCGGGAGGGAGGGAAGGAAGGGGGGGGGGGGGAGGTGAAGGCAGAACGAGGGAAAATAGACGATTGAAAAAAAAAAAACTCTGTGGGAGATGAGAGAGCTGGAAAGATTTTCAGGCGGATGGGAACTAAATCAAGAAGCATCAACTTCATGAAGTAAGATTGCCATGCGGGAGGGAGAACAGAACGGGGAACAGGCTTCAGCAGAAGCTTTGAGGCGCCTCAAAACGAAATCAAGAAGCACCAATTTCATGAAGTAAGATTGCCGCGCGGGGAAGGAGAATGGGAGACAGGCTTCAGCAAAAGCGGCAACAGGACACGATTAGCCCATTGAGTGCAACGAGATGAAATTTGAGTCGCTCGCTTCAAAAAGGGAGAAGGGAGAATGGGCGAAACGCTTCAGCAAAAGTAGCGACAAGACATGAATCGCCCATTGAGTTAGACCGCACGTACCAGAGAGGGAGCAGAAGAGGTTCTGGGTGATGCTGTCTAGCAGTCTCGCTTGTCAGAGTGGCAAGGACCCACCTTGCCTGGTGGGTAACTGGGTTACCACCTAGTCAGGTAAGGTAACTGGGGGACATCACTACGGGTACGTACGTACTACAGAGGGAGCAGAGCCCGTGGGTGGGTAGGAGAGATTTCCAGGTTACCACACCACCAGGTAACTGGAAGATATTACTACTGGCATGTACGCACCACAGAGGGGGCAGACCCCGGTAATCGGGTTACCAAGTTACCTTACAGTCAGGAAGACATTACTACTGGTATGTACGCACCACAGAGGGGGCAGACCCCGCGGGTGGGCATGAGATGTTTCCAGTGGAGGTAATGGGGTTACCAGGTTACCTTACAGTCAGGAAGACATTACTACTGGTATGTACGCACCACAGAGGGGGCAGACCCCGCGGGTGGGCATGAGATGTTTCCAGTGGAGGTAATCGGGTTACCAGGTTACCTTACAGTCAGGAAGACATTACTACTGGTATGTACGCACCACAGAGGGGGCAGACCCCGCGGGTGGGCATGAGATGTTTCCAGTGGAGGTAATCGGGTTACCAGGTTACCTTACAGTCAGGAAGACATCACTACTGGTATGTGCGCACCACAGAGGGGGCAGACCCCGCAGGTGGGTATGAGATGTTTCGGAGGATGACTGTGTGGTGATAACCAGGTTACCAGTCAACCAGGTAGGCAAAGACACACACGACTGGCACGCACGTACCACAGAGGGCGCAGAGCCAGCAGGTGGGTAGGAGATGTTTCGGGGGATGGCTGTCTGATGGTCTCGCTTGTCAAAGTGCCACGAACTCACCTTCCCAGGCAGATAACCCGGTTACCACACTAATCAAGTAACCGGAAGGCATCACTAATGGCGCGTACAACGTACCACAGAGGGAGCGGAGTTGGCGGGTGGGTAGGAGATGTTTCGGGGGATGGCTGTCTGGTGGTCCCTCTTGTCAAAGTGCCATGGCCCCACCTTGCATGATAGGTAACCGAGTAACCATCTATAACCATCTACTCACGTTACTGGAGGAGATTACCATTTGCACGTACCACAGAGGGAGCAGAGCCGGCGGGTGGGTAGGAGATGTTGCGAGGAATGGCTGTCTGGTGGTCTCTCTTGTCAAAGTGCCATGGCCCCACCTTGCCTGGCAGGTGATTTCCATGGAAGTAGAATGTGTGGGAGGATACGGAAGGTAGAAAAACGAGATGGGAAGGAGGGCGCTTGTCCACATAGAATACTCCACCCCCCGCCCCGCCCCCCTACCCCCTACACTTAGCGTCTCATAACGTGATAAAAGTGATGTTTTGAGACATCTCAAAAGGCCAGTAAAACGAGATGGGAATGAGGGCATTTCTCCACATAGCACACTTCACTTCCTGCCCCTCCCCCCTACCCCCTATGCTTAGCGTGTCATGACGTGATAAAAGTGATGTTTTGAGACGTCTCGAACAAGGGCACTTGTCCACATAAAATACTTCACCCCCCCCTCCCACAATGCCTTGCGTGTCATCAACGGAACCCTTTCTTACCCACTCTGTATGTGTGTTCTTATACCCACGTGTGTTCTTATACCCATGTGTGTTCTTATACCCATGTGTGTTCTTATACCCATGTGTGTTCCTATACCCATGTGTGTTCCTTTACCTATGCGTGTTCTTATACCCATGTGTGTTCTTACACCCATGTGTGTTCATATACCCATGTGTGTTCTTACACGGTACACCCATGTGTGCTTACATTGAGGTCATAGTCACACACCTTAGTGTCTTGAATTCTGGCAGTTGGGAGGTCATGCAAAGTAGCATAACACTCCCTTACCTGCTCGGAAAGTTTGTTATTCTACCCATATGTGCTTACATTGAGGTCGTAGTCACAACCATAGGTGTAGAAAATCATGTATGCGTCGCCTACTGATCTGTCCCAAGGAGGCTGCATGGAGGAAGGCATGGGATGGGAGAGGGTAATGGGATGGGATGGGAGATGAAAGGGGCATTGAGGTCGTAGCCACAGCCATAGGTGTAGTGAATCATGTATGCATCGCCTACTGCTCTGTCCCAAGGAGACTGCACAGAGGGAACGAGGGGAGTGGGAGGGGAACGCGGGGTGAGGGAGGGGAGAGAGGGGCGTGGGAGGCGAGAGGCGCATGGGCGAAAGTGAGGCATATGGAGGGGAGGGAGGGGCATGGAGGGGAGAGAGGGGCATAGAGGGGAGTGAAGAGCATGGGAGGGAGAGAGGGGCATGGAAGGGAAGGAGGGGCACACACGCGGCGAGAGTGGCAGTCACAGGATCACCTAGATCATCCATTCCATTCCTTCCTCAAACTGTGCGGCGTGTATGTGTTTGCGCCCTTGTATGGACGATTTTTGAGACGTCTCAAATGTAGAGAGGGAATTTTTGAGACGTCTCAAAAATACCCTCTCTACACGTGGCTACACAAGCTCACCTGGATCATCCATTCCTTCCTCAGACTGTGCGGCGTGTATGTGCGTGTGTGTGCGTGTATGTGTGTGTGCCCCGGTATGGGCGATGCTGTGGCACAGCACAGCAGCTGGAGCGCATGCAGTGTGCCTGTAGCTCATGCAGTGTGCCTGTTGTGCATGCAGTGTGCCTGTAGCGCATGCAGTGTGCCTGTAAACCCCACCCCAGCTCCTCCTGCCGCTAGCCACAAACAGTGACCACCACCAAACCACCCCAGCCGCTCACCCCAGTCCTTTCTTAGGATGTGCGTGCAGTACGTGTACCCCAGCATGGCTGATACAGTACTGGCAGATGGGGTGTGTACCACCTATCCTAAGCTAGCAGTCATCACTAGCGTGGCGCTGGTGGGGGGTGTGAGCCAGCCAGCAGCCATCATCAGCGTCAACAGCTCCCCACCTCACTAACTTGCCTCGATCATTCTTGAGGCGCCTCAATAGTTAGCTCACCTGGATCATCCAGTCTTTTCGGAGGATGTGCGTGTACCCCAGCATGGTCGATGCTGTCGCATAGCTGTACCTGAGTGGGGGGGTGAGGGGGCAGGGGATAACAGAGAGAGAGGAGGATAGGAATACATGTGGCCATGCTGCGTGTACCCCAGCATGGCTGACGCAGTGACTTTCGAGTCGACTCAAAAGTCACCTCGTTACTATGGCACACGATAGGATTACATGTGGCCATGCTGCGTGTACCCCAGCATGGCCGATGCTGTTGCATATTCGTACCTGAGTGGGGGGGTGAGGCGGCAGGGGATAACAGAGAGAGAGGAGGATAGGAATACATGTGGCCATGCTGCGTGTACCCCAGCATGGCTGACGCAGTGACTTTCGAGGCGACTCAAAAGTCACCTCGTTACTATGGCACACGACAGGAATACATGTGGCCATGCTGCGTGTACCCCAGCATGGCTGATGCTGTCGCATAGCCGTACCTGTGGGATGGGGGGCAAGCGGGGGGGGGGGGGGGAGGAGAGGAGGAGGGGGAAACAATAGAAGCATGGGTGACTGGTGAATGCATGGGTGCATTGGTGCATGGGTGCGTGTGCCCCAGCATGGCTGATGCTATGTCATAACCGAACCTGTGGGATGGGGGGCAAGGGGGGAGAATCACCCATTGCAAGAGGCAGGGGGGAACAACCATAAGCATGGATGAATAATTGCATGCATGCGTGCATGTATCGGAGTGTGTATCGAGCTGGTTTTTGAGAATTCTCAAAAACCATGCATCGGAGTGTGTAACACAACATTGCTGATGCCATGGCATACCAATACCCTGTGGGGATGGGTGGTAGGCAGGCGGGACCAACCATAAGCATGGGTGCATGCACCATACCATGTGTTACAGATGCTGCAGGGTGTTTTTGAGAATTCTCAAAAACACCCTGTTACAGCCCGGTCATTCTGGCTGCCCTAATGCACCTACCTCATGTCACCCCACCCCAACCCACCCCACCCCACCCCACCCGATCCCGCACCGCACCACACCACCCAGCCTTACATCTCCAGCACCCATCCAAACTCCTCATCAATAGCCGGGTCATTCTTGCTACCCATGCTGCACATGCTGCCTCATGCTAATACATCTACCCCAACCCACCCCACCCCAGCCCACACCACCCATACTTACATCTCCAGCACCCATCCGAACTCCTTGTCAATCTCAGGGTCACTCTTGAACTGGAGCGACACGTTGTGCCACAGGGGAGCAATTTTGAGCAGGTCTTTCTGGTGGGGGGTGGTGGTGGTGGGTGGTGGGAAAAAGGTGAGAACGCAAAGAAACGTGAGGAGGAGAAGAGAAGGTGAGGGAGGCCGAGGAGAACGTAAAGAGACGGTGGTATTTGAAGGGGGGAGAACCTCAGGTTGCTTCTGAGAGATGATGGTGGGGCAAGGAGAGGAAGGGCAAAGGGAAACGGGAAGAGGGGCAGAATTAGGAAGACGAAAAAAACGGTGGTATCTGAGGGAGGAAGTATCTCCTGGTCGCTCTTGAACTGCAGAGACACGTTGTGCCACAGGCGGGAGATTTTCAGCAGGCCTTTCTGGTGGGTGATGGGATGGGTGGTGTGGGAGTGTGAGGGGAGTGCAGAAAGCGGAAAGGAAGGGTTGCAGCTGAGAAAACACAATGAGGCGACAGCACCTTCTGCCACAAGCGGGCAATATTGAGCAAAAGTAGGAGGAAGTCAGAATCATGCTTAATCAACCTGGTTCTTGCTCTCCCAAGCATTTGTGCCTCCACCACACAGCAGATGAAGCCTCCCACACTTGTCATGTCCTCTGTTTCCGATACACAAGAGGCATCGGAGAATGCGGTGAGGAACAAACGCCCGGGTTCAACACCATCCGCGCCCTTTTGGCGCCTTTGCGCCGCCGCTGAGTATTGCAGCCCAACGGTCGGTGTTTGGCCAAGGTACTTGGCCACCCTCATTCCAGCTGCTACCTGCTCCTCATTAGGGAATTGCACAACCCTAGCCAGCTGCCCGGTAGCAAAGGCCACGTCCGGCCGAGTGTTGACCGCCGCATACATGAGGCTGCCCACCAACGAGTGAAAACGGTGACTCTCCTCTTTACCAACGCTCTCCTCCTCTGGTCCCATCACACACTTGAACCCAGAGGGAAAGGGAGTAGCCACATGGCCTTCACTCTGCCCAAAGTTTGCAGCCAAGGCCTCCAGGTACTTCCGTTGGTGCACTCGCATGCACCGCTTCTCCACGTCACGCTCGATGTGGAGCCCAAGGTAGAAGTTCATGTCACCAAGGGACTTGCACTTGAACTTGTCTTTAAGTTTCAGCATCACCTCCTTCACAAGGCCAGAGGAGGGTGAGAAGATGAGGATGTCATCCACGTACACCACCATGAAGCTCCTGTGCTCCCCCTCGCCAAGCATGAACAAGGAGTGATCGGCCGTTGAGGGTGTGAAGCCGATCTCCTCGCTTGAACTCTCCTCTTGCCCCTTCCTTCCTTCACACCGCAGCAACGCCAAGGCCTTCAAGTCCCTGCAGCTGAGGAGGAAGGAAGGGGCAAGAGGAGAGTTCAAGCCTCTAATAGGCTGACATATGACGCGCCGGGAAAGCCGGGCAAGTCAAACCTAGCCGGAGCGGCAATGATGGTCGGCAGCCTCATGTATGCTGCAAACATGAAGAGCGAAGATAACGACAAGAACCCGAGCGGCGATCGGTACCTGGGTCAATTCTACTTCGTGTCAATGCAAGCACCGGCTGCACCAGAAAATGACGAAGTCTTTGAGGAGCCAGCAGCTGTGGGACAGGTCACCCTACACCCTGTAGCGGTGCTACCTACACCATGACACCTTGCGCGGACTTGCTGACCGAACTTGAACCGTCACCGGTGAAGCATGTCAAATCGGCTTTGGGCCAGCGAGCAGAGGTGAAAGGCATGGGCAGGGCCATGTTCAAGGGTGTTGATGGGAAGATGGTGGGCCTCAAGAACGTGCTTTGGGTGCCCAGCCTTGCTGCGAACCTGATTTCTGTGCGGCAATTGGCATGGACACGAACTCGAAGGGAGCCAAGACCTACACTGCGAGGCTTGGCGAGCGGATTCTATGGGACCTTCACGAAGACAGGGATGTCTACAACGAGATGTGGCAGATCCCTGTGGTCCCCATGCCTAAGGAGAGGCAAGTGGCAGCAAGCGTCAGCACCAAGGGTGAAGCGGTTGGTAGCGGCGATGGCGCGAACGGTCGCGCTAAGGAGATTGAGTCCAAGAAGAGCAATCTTGGAGGGACCAGCAAGCTCGGTGAACACGAGGAGAGTGGTGCAGCAGCCAAGAAGCAGCACAAGGGTGAGGAGAACCCTGAGGCAGCAGCGGAGGAGGAGTACGGAGAGAGCATGTGGGGCGCTATTGCAAGCGCGGCATTCTCCAATCCAACTTTGGCTACGGGGGAGTGTGATTGGCTCACCTTGCATCGGCGAATGGGGCATGTGGCCCTGCCTATCTTGCAGCTAGTGAAGAATGTGCTGGCATACATGTGAAGGGGGAGCCTGATGGAGTGCTTGGCTGCCCGACGTGCATTCAATCCAAGTTCACTCGGTTTCCGTTCCCTAGTTCGGAGGCAACGGCAAAGGCACCACTTGATGAGGTGGTGATGGACGTGGTGGCCCCCCTGAAGCTTGGAGCTGCTGGAGCTGAATATTTCCTCACCATTGTGGATGTCTACACCCGCATGACTTGGGTGCACGTGCTGTCCAAGAAGATCGACGTTGCTGAAACGGTGAAGACCGATTGGTTGCCGATGGTGGAGCGGCAACAAGACCGGCTTATGAATTCGACCTGCACCGATCGTGGGGAAGAGTTCCTGAGCAAGGAGTTCGGATTGTGGCTGAAGAAGAATGGGATAAGGCACTCCCTTACCATGCCATACTCCCCTGCAATGAACGGTGTCGCCGAGCGAGCGAACCGCACAATCACGGAGACAGCATGCGGGCTGCTCATTGAAGCCGGGCTACTCGACTATTTCTGGCCTGATGCGGTGCGGAGTGCGTGTGTGGCCAAGAACAGAGCTTTGAATCATGTTGGAGCAGATAAATGGGTGCCCTATGTGGAGTGGCTAGGAAGGAAGCCTAAGGTGGATATTGTTAGAAACTATAAGGACGGACTCTACGAAGATTAGGGGCCTAAATTTCTCAAAATCGTTGGCCGAGAAATGTGGACAGGAATGTCGACTTCACAAGAAACGCCGTCGACAAAAATTGCACAGTTGAAACTTCACCAATTTTAAATATGTTTTAGCTCTTGTCCGTGGTTACAATTCCCAATTTGAATCGTACGAAAAGGTGAAGTAACTCTTGAGTTATGAATTTTGGCGCACTAGGGGGT